TATCACCAACAAGATTACAGATGAAGAGAATGTCAGCCTTACAGATAATCTAACTGAAGAGGAAATGAAACATGTTGTTTTCAATTTATGTGCATCTAGTGCTGCAGGACCAGACGGCTACTATGAGACTTTCTTTCAAAGTTGTTGGGACATTATTAAGGAAGACATCATTGCGTTTGTACTAGAATTCTTCAGAGGTAAGCCCCTTACTAAGTTCTATACACACACTAGTTTAGTTCTTATCCTAAAGAATGACTCTCCCACCACCTTTAATGAATTTATACCTATTAGTCTCTCCAATTTAACAAATAAGATCATCTCTAAATTCTCTTTATCAGACTAAATCCTCTTTTAAGCAAATTGATCTCTACTAATCAAAGTAGTTTTGTTAAAGATAGGTTGATTTCGGAAAATATTCTATTAGCGCAAGAAATTATTCAATCTATCTCTCATACTAATAAGGGTGGCAATGTTGTTGTTAAATTGGACATGGCAAAATCATATGATAGAATGTCATGGACATTTGTTACCTCAGTTCTTAGGAAATTTAGTTTTTGTGAACTGTGGATTGACATGATTTTGAATCTCTTATATGGCATTTGGTATTCCATCATTATTAATGGAAACAGAAAAGATTTTTCTATCTCTAGTCAGGGACTTAAACAAGGAGATCCCCTCTCCACCCCCTCTCTTTATTATTGTAGCTGAAGTGTTGAGTTGCTCACTTAACAATCTTCTTTTGGATGACAACTTTATTCCTTTTTCTATGCCTAACAATGGTCCTCTTATTAATCACTTGGCATATGCTGACGATATTGTCATTTCACTAGTGGCAATGATAAATATGTTAGCCTCATCATGAAGGTTATTAATAACTATGAAGCCAGTTCTGGTCAATTTGTGAATGTTGATAAAAGTTTTTCCTTATTGCCCCTAATTCTTGTGTTGTTAAATTAATAGGATAAGGAATTATAATGGCTTTATGGATAAAGACTTTTCTTTGACTTATCTAGGTTGTCCTATTTATATTGGAAGGAAGAAGTTAGTGTATTTTGATAATATGGTGAATAAAGTAGTTAAGAAACTTAATGGTTGACATGGTAAGCTGCTTTTGTATGGTGATAAGTTGATCTTAATTAAGCATGTGCTTCAGTCTCTTCTTATATATACTCTTTCTGCCTTATCTCCCCCCAAAGGCACTTTTAATCTGCTTGAAAAACATTTCTCCAATTTATTCTGGGGTTTCTTTGGTGACAAAAAAAAATACCATTGGAAGTCATGGAAGAACCTTTATTTTCCCCGGATGAAGGGGCATTGATGTGAGAAGGATGGAGGATATTGCTAACACTCTTGAAACTAAGAGGTGATGGAGATTTATAACTATACCATCTCTCTGGATCTTCATGAGGCATAAATATTGCCCGAGATCTCACTCGGTAAGTAAGAAAAGGGCCTCTGGTGACTCATTGTCTGGCAAAAGATGATACAAGTCAGAGATAAAGCAGAGTCTCACATTATTTGGCAGATTAACTCTGGAATTCTAGTATGTGGTTGGACAATTGGACTGGTAAGGGTCCATTATCCCCATACATGCTTGGGCATAGCAACAACAAAACAACTGTCAGAGAATTCATCCATGATGGAACCTGGAACACCAACAAGCTCAATGAATGTTTGTCGGATGATATGGTTCAATACATTATGAATATCCATATAGGCAAACAAGATATCATGGATCAAGCTGTATGGGATCTCACCGAGAATGGTAAGTTTTCCAACAAAACAACATTATGCTTCTTTAGGAACACAAGAAATAAGGATCATTTCTTTAGCAAGATGTGGCATTCTAGTATTCCTTTTAAATTCTCATTGTTAACTTGGAGACTTTGGATATCTAAGCTGCCTATTGATGATGCTATTCTTAACTTTCGCAAGCAAATTATTCGAAATGTAACTGTTACACTAACCCTAAGCAAGAATCTATTTAACATGATTTTTTGGAAAGTGATGCAGCTAGGTACATTTGGAAATTTATTGGCTCCCCTCTGGGAATCAAACCAATGCAACTTCCTATAAGAGGGTTATTGAATCAATAGTGGCAATAGAAACACAACAATGCAGTTCACAAGCTAGTTCTACAGATCACTCCCATCATTATATGTTGGGTAATTTGGAAAAATAGATGTTCTTGTAAATTTGAAGATAAAAAAAGATTCAATTTCTTCAAAATGAAACATCAAGTATGCTGGAACACTCAGGCTGCTATCCACAGACTCTTTTCTAATTGCAAACTAACATTGCCTTGGGTCAATTTATGTGAGAAGATGATGAAATTACAACCTATTCCAGAGGCCATCATTGTGTGTTGGGAGAAGACTTATTGCAACTCCCATAAACTCAATACAGATGGAAGTTTTGTAGAAGGAAATGGCACTGCTGGCCTAGGTGGAGTCTTGAGGAATGATCAAGGCGACTTTATTATGGCCTTCTCTGTCACTGCAAAGTGCAATAGTCACAATTGTGCTGAAGCACAAACTGCCTTCTTTGGGATCAACTGGTGTGCAACAAATGGTTATTCGATCTTCACCATTGAACTCGATTCTATGCTGGTAACGAATATGCTCAAGGATGGGAAAACCAATAACTACAAACTGAAGAAGGTTATTGAGGATACTTCACATATCATGAACCAAGCCAATGTTACTCCTATCTATTGCTTTAGGGAGGCTAACCAAATGGCCGATCATCTCGCTAAGCTTGCCTTGTCCAACCATGTAAACAAAATTTTTCTCAATTTTCAACAGCTTCCTAGTGGTGCCAAAGGCCCGTTCATCTTGGACAGATTGCAAATGCCTACCATTAGAACAAAATACAATAAGGCAAATTTTTTTGTTAGTTGAACATTCTTAGTTGATTTTTTGTCGAACAGGGGAGTAACGTTATTATACTTCTCTTGTTCTTTTTGAAGGACATCCTTTGTCCTTGTGTTGTAGTCTTTGGAGGTAAGGCCACACTCCCCTCCATCTGCAATTTTTAAAAAAATTGCAGATGCTTTCTTTTTGTCTTCTTCCTTCTTTTAAAAAAAAAAAAAGATTTTTGTGGATATTAATTGATTCTGCATAAACATAAAAAGATACATTAGAAGGAAAACTACCCAAAACATAATAGTGGTGTTGATCTTACTATTTAGCGGAAGAATTATCCGATTAGAGGATCGTTTGCTTTTGGATCAACTTAAACAATTAACTTGAAAATTGACACCCAACGTTTATCTATTTTTCTTTAGAAAAAAATACATTGTGATTGATATACCTTGTCACGACGGGTGGTCTGTTTTAGGGCTAGTAAGAAAACCATATCCATAGAATCAAAATTAAGTCTACATAAATTCTTAATAGACATTTTAGATTTCCAAAATTTGGTTAGGGAGAAAAAGCTCCCAGTGTACTATTCAATTATTGCTCTAAAAGTGTTGGTAATTGAAACTTACCCAAAATTTTATTGTCCCATTTTTTTATGGATAGAGATAAATAGTAAGTAGCAGCAAAGTAAGTACATTACAAAAAAATAAAAAAATAAAATAAGTTAGGAACTTCGTCGCTAATCTATCATTAAATTGTTCGTAATTAACATAATTTTTTAATTATCTGTCACTAATTATTGCAGTATTTTTTAAGCAGTGGTAAAAGCTGATCCAGACCCACTAGTTCAGTGTTACTTAAAAAAGAAAATTACCCAAATTTTCGCAATCGGGAAGTTGGGGGACACGTTATGACATAAGCTTATATCACTGACTAAAAAAATAGGAAAACAAGATTGTAATGCAACAGGGCAATATATGAGATAATGCACACCAACCATTTTATGAAAGGGCTCTCTAACATGGAACAAAATGTCGTGAAAAAGGTTGTCAAATTCCAGGTATTTGATCTCATCCTATTATGACCAAACTGTCCCAGGTATGCGTAACATAATAAGAAATAGTACACATGCAATGTTATCTTCTAGAAAATATTTGATCTTGTTGTTTTTTTTATTTTTTGAATGGATATGTTATTGAAAGAGCTAAATTTGCATATTAAATGCCATATGAAACCCGACATCCAACATTACTTATAATAACTATTTCTTTTAGTATATTATTTCTACTTGAGCAAAAAAATAAGGAAAAGTTTCAAAAAAAGAAAAGAAACAATCAAATAAGGTCTATTTAATCTTGTGGACTAAAAAAAACTAGGTATGAATAGCGGTTAGCTTTTTATTATTCAAAAAAATAAAACCAACATGATACGACTTTAATTTAACCACGAGGAGGTTTTTCACGATGTAGGTGGAAATGACTAGCCAAAATACATAAACAAATAAAATAAGACAATCTCTCAACAAATAATTGAAAATGGAATTTATTCATATGTGCACTACCAATATATTTTAATCTAGCAGGCAATCTGTCTTATTTTTTATGTTACTAATCCAACACAACTTGTAATGCGTTAAATAATGTGATAGCAATGAGATATGCATTGTAAGTTTTTAACTGAGGGGGTTTCAGACTCTCTTCCACCCTCTAGCTCCGCCCTTGCTTGATACAATTAAATCTCTTTATAATAGTCGTGTTTGTTTCGATGTTTTTTAGATGTTATAGTGAAGTGCTATTATAGAGGACATATATTATAACATAATATAAAAGATTGGTTTCGAGATACACTTAGCTTTTATTGTGAGAGGTTGTTATACATGGATTCTATTACAGAAAGATCTGACCGTAGTAATACTTTTACACGATCATTCTATATATATTAACTATTAAAAATGAAGCACTAAATTAAAAGGCTAGTGTGAAAGCAAATGGTGGGACTAGAAGCGTAGATAAGAATAGTAACCATTACAAAATTTTAATAAACAATTGGTGTGGTTAGCGTAGGTCAGTGTGTCATCTTCTTTTTTATGAAGATATTGTGGAGATCTCAGAACCCTAACTAACGTATCTTGTTCTTTATCATCTTCCATTAGAATACCCAAAAGAGGAAAAGCCATAGGTTTAGTTCAATGGATAATTATCTTTGGGAGATCTTTAGTAGTAAACAAAATACTGAACAAGATCATGATCATCATCACCAGCTACTTCAGATTCCTAATTTCCAATTAAATGGATTTTGCCAACAAGACCAAATCCCTAATCAAGATCTCATAGGTGGTCCTCGCGAAATTTCTTCAGTCAACAGCAACAACAACTACGCCTCAGTCCCAACAACTATGTCTTCGGTCAATAGAAGTAATCTTGATAATTCTAACAAGGGGCTTATTAGAAGGCCAGAAAGTACTATAAGTAGTACTGATGATTCCAAGAAAGTTGTGCATAGAAATGTTGAAAGGCATAGAAGGCAAGAAATGGCAAATCTTCTTACTTCTCTTAGATCCCTTCTTCCCCTTGAGTTTATCAAGGTGATGATTCTTCTATTTTCCTCTCTTCATATTTCAGTATAAGTAGAAAAATATTCTCATTTGTCCATTAGTATTTGTAAATATTAGAACCTCGTTATGTGCAATACTTGTGAAATATTGAAGTGAAAAAGGAGTTTTATTAGTATTTGCTCAGAAATACTTGTTTGAGGAATATTTCAAGCGAAATTTATGTACAAAATCAGCTCTCAAATACAATTTTTCAACTTTAACTTCAAATACTATTTTGTTTCATTATCAACCAAATATTGTGTTAAAGTTTAGTCATAGTTATCGCTCTATTTCCTTCCTCTTTTCATGCAGATAGCCTTTCTCTATCTTTCTTTTTGTTGCTTAGAAGGTTTTATTGAGTAGATAGATTTTTTTTTTTGAGTAGAGAGATAAAGAATATTTACCTCATTACTTTATTATTAGGATGCATATACAGTCTGAATATAACGAATGTGGTTTAGTATACCTGACAATAACAACAAAAATTAAAATTCCATGGTTATTTGCATAGCCATAGAACAAGTTAAGTTTGTAGCTAATTTTTATCTACGTCATCTCTACCTATTTACTAAAAAAGTAGTACTGTGGCTAAAGTGTTTAGCTGCAAAAAAATTCATATTTAGCTACGATATATTTTGTAGTTGTATATGCGTAATGTTTGTATTACCTTTTAATTAAAGCTAGATAATAACATGGGGTGAATTTTGATTGCAAATTTAGGGTAAACGTTCAGCATCAGATCACATGCAAATAGCTGTGAATTATATAAGGCATCTTCGGAAGAATATAGAAGAGTTAGACAATAGAAGAAAACAAATCAAGAATTCATTGGATAATTTGGGTGCTGAAAATGGAAGTTCTTCAACATGTTATGTTCACAACAATTCTGTGGCAGTAAACACATGTCAAGATGGTATGGAGATTTTGATTAATGTGAATAGTCATAAAGAGGAAATGTTTTCTTTGTCCAAAGTGCTAAGATGGCTGCTCCAACAAGGGCTAAATGTTGTTAGTTGTGTTAATTCCAAACAAGATGAATGGACTTTGATCAGGATTCAATGTCAGGTATGATATATCTAATGCCACATATTGAGTAATTTTGTCATTTATATAATTTCTCATCCATCTTATATGCATGGCACTCTTTCCTTTTAGTCTGTTCTGGAAATAATGACACTATTATACATTTGGAAACTTTTAGTTTTAAATTTTCTATTGCATCCTTAATGAGGTGCTGTTGACATATATATTTTAAGGCCGTAAGTTCCTATATCATGCCCTATTCTCCAGGAAATTATTAGATGGGCAGTCACTTATAATTTAGCTTATATATATCGATGGTATATGGAAATTTTACACTACTAGATTATTTTTACCTATTGTACCAGGTAACTTGCCTTGTTTTTAAGTCCCACTTTTTATGGAATTGGTTATATTGATATATTTATTGGATAGCATGATAGTGTTAAAATTTCTTTGTATTAATTAACGAAGTGTATGACTTAACCTCTAATCTTTCAGTTGATCCATCTAACTGTGTAAAAGAATATTTACACTGTGATCAGTATGCAAAAGTAAACTCTTTTTTTCGGAAAAATCAAGAGCAACCCCTAATACATATATGTACTTTAATAAGTGAAAACATTAAGGAGGGGCATGCTGCCTTACCTGCTTAATTATTATATCATTACAGGAATATTATTTACTATCAAATGAATCATCTTGCAGGTGAGTGATATATCAGGTGTCAGTACAGTTGGACTGCAAAAGAAATTGACTGATTTGATTAGTTAACAAAAGGAATATATCCCTCAATCAGTCAGGGTCGATCCAAACACGGGTTTGTGACTTATGTAGAATCTAGATCTTCTATATCTTGTATATGAATACAGTCGATATATANAGATTTGTCAGCATAAGGACACCGTCATTAAGAATGTTACTGTATATGCATGTTAGTCTATTTGAATATTGTTGTTGTAGTTGTTATAAGGATTTAATTTCTGTGCAGTTGGAATTAATGGCAGTGGCTCTTTCAACCCTCACTAGAGTGTTGTGGTTTCAGTTCACTCATGATCAATTTTGATTCTCGATATGGAGTTGCTTTGAAAATATATATTGTAAAAGAGATTGCTTTGGGGGGGTTGAAGAAGAATATATGTAGCTAAAAGTAATACACCTCCTCGCTGGCTAATGTCGTTGCTAGCTTGTAAAGTTATGTGATTGCGTAAGATATGATATGGTTAGGATACAGGAGAAACGTCAAATTATTTATGCGATTATAAGCGGAGGCGGACCTATGCTATATCGAGAGTGGTTACCGATACCCGTAAAATTCGGTAAAAATTCCATGTATATATGTATTTGTTTTTAGAAAATAGTGATATATTAGTAGTGGACACCCATATACAAAGCAAATTTTGGTTTAATCCAAGAGTGCATCCCACCTTCAAATCCGGGGGCCGCCTCTCATTATAAGGTGCTTATAATATATGATAGGATAAATGAATTCCAATGTTGTTAAAAGTTAGTTCGGTATCTCTAGTGGTGATAGTAAGTACTTGGTGCATTAATCAAAAACTGTGCAAGTTGACCCAAACTCTACCTTTACAAAAGAAAAATAACAAAGAAATTAATACTATTAACTGATATGTATCTTATCTTGTTTTTTTTTTTAAAATAAAAAAAAAACATGTATCTTATCATATTTCATGTACCCTCTATTATTGATTGATACTGATATATATCTTGTCAACTCCTAAGAGGCATGCAGTCTAACTTAACTGTTATTTGCATCTCAAACACTTTGAAAATTTTCGACTTTTAATTAGGTACGTAAGTTGAATATTGAATTCTTTCCATCTTCCCTTTTTTTTCCGCTTTATATACGTATTTTTTTCATTTTATTCTAACCCCAATATCGTCAAACTAATAAATATAGAGTTTAAGTTCTATGTACGTATAAAATAAAAAATGTTGCAAGGTCACTAAAGATATAAATGCAGCTTAACTCTATATAATAAGCATTGGTTGAGATTGACCGTCGAAAATAAATGATACATAAACTGTCATAATAAGTTACGTTATACTCTATATACAGAGAGAAATTATAAACATGCACCCTATTTAATTCTTTCTTTGTTGCATATGGCAATATTACACCACATTCTGCTTTTCCTTGCGGAATTTTCTGTTACATATATTAAACTAGTTACGCTCTAGAAATTCTATAAATGTACCCTTGGTATGAGAAGTATTGACTTTCATCTTAGTCTGATCAAAGTGAAAAATGATAGCTAGAGCCCAGAAACAATAATAGCAAGTGCAATTATAACATTATTGTCCATCTTTTAATTAGCATCTCACAAAACACACAATCCCTCAGTTTTGGTTCATTTGCTTAATTTGTTTTATTAAATTAATCAACTCATCACTTTTATTAAACATTAATATGCACAAATTAAAGGCAACTCATAAAATCTGCATTACTTACATGGTATATATATATATATATATATATATNCACGTAGCTTTACATTCTTATAAATGAGTAAATGATAAAATATTAAAAAATTTATCCAAACAAAAATGAAGTTCATGAATATCCAGCTATTCCTGCCCAAGAATGAAGAAGTGTTTCTAATCTTCTCCTTTTAAATTCATTTTGGAAGAATTGTTTGAGTTTATTCCTGTATATGCTGTTCTCCGAGTTTGTCCAAGGTGTTGAACTAGTTATCCTTTTCAAATAAAGATCACTTGATCGATCAATCAAAACAAATTTGAATATTGAACAAAAAAAAAGTCATTTCCTTCAATATATCTAAACTTTGGTGGACAGAGTTACTTGATACTTATGTTGGTGACAGAAAGCAGGTACCTGATTGAATTAATCAAGATGCGCAAATTGGCCCGAATATAACCATTACATATGAGCGTATATGTGCATTGAGCAACTTTTTACATACTGAGCTTCTCTGTAACCCCACACTAAGATAATCATAAAGAACAAGAAGATATAATAAAAGAAGCCTAAAGGGAGGTTTCTCAACAAAAAGAAAAAAAAAGCATCTGGAAATGACAGAAACCATCTATAAAACTTTCTGATGCATTTTGTTAATAAGATAAAATATCCCAATTAAGATTGGTTCTGTTCCAGCCAGTGCAGACATCTTCAATTCACAAACTTGAAGTTTAAAGGAACATGCCAGAAACTTTAAAACTATCAACTTAACGCCTCTCGGCTACCTGACACACAGATTTCAAATCCAGAATACCAAATATGGAAGAATTATATTTTCTTTTAGGAAAAGAAAAACTCAATTATGATAATATGTTGTTATTTTTTTCAAGAGATAGAAAAACTAAATACAGTAAGAAAATCAAGACAAACATCTAACAGAGGTCTCTCCTGTATAGGTACTCAAATTGGATCACTGATCGATTGTGAAGCATAATCGAAAGTGCCTCAACTTTGTTTGGTGCTTTTATGAGGCACAGCACAGGGCCTTGTCATTAAATGTTAAAAAAATGTTCACGTTCTTTGTTAACCATCTTTAAGGTTGAAGTATTTCCTGGCCTAGAATTACCATTTAAAACCATTCTTTTCAATGTCCCTTTTCTTGGAAGAAAAGGTTTGACTTCTATAAATTGAGGATCCTTCCTTCTTAGCAGCACCCATAATAGTCATAAGGGGTTTGAAAGTCTTGTTTAGGAGGAAAATTTCGGGACAAGTGTTAGCCAGCTGCCACTTGTGTTGCCTTTTCGTGAGGTTGTTCTCTCGATATTTTGTACTCTCTTTTATATAGTGGATTGCTCATCTCCGCCTGTGGATGTAGGTCAATTGACCGAATCACTTTAAATGCTTATATCTCTTTTGTGTATGATTTATCGTCGTTCAAAGTTTGTTTTACTAGCTTCCGCATGACACCTGCTTATTTCGATCCTAACAACCTCAACGGAAAACTGGAGAGTAACCGCATCAAGTGATTGAGTTCAGTAGTTCCTCATACAAAATTATTGACTCGAGAGTTATAGTAATATGGAAAAGACAAAATTGTTTCAAGCACCGACAGAACCGGAAGCGACCCTTCTTTCAAAGAGAGGGGGATGGGTTATTCACATTTCAATTGATGGTCAGAAACGAATTGAAAGTTAAGCAGTGGGAATTCTAAAGGTCCATTGAGGGAAAAATAAAGATGTCTCATCTGTTAACCATAGTATGTGAAAGTATCGACGTAATTTCATAGAGTCATTTGGTTTGGATGCTATATGAGGAACATAAGCCAGAAGCAACCTCCGCTTCTTTTTTCTTGTTAGCCCCTTATTCGCTAAAAGATGCTCAAAATAAAAGTGAGTGGGTGGTCTTTACAATACTCTCACACAAAAAACATGAAAACATGGTAGCAGTGGAGATCATGTACAATAGAAAGAACTACCCAAACATGGAATGGAAGACACAACTATATATAAACAGGGTGGAAACATGTAAGTCTAAACCATACTTAACTCTTAACTCATTGAAGCATGTACGTGTAACTACTGAAGTTACTCCTAAAAGACATAGTTCAAGCCAACAAGTCTTGTTATGCTTAACAACCAATCATATTGCTCTAGCCTGATTGCAAGGCAGTTTGTGGCAATCCCATTATGTAAATACCACCAGTCCTTTACGTTGAGCTGAGCACGTGTTTATCTGTCATGTTTTGATGATTAACAAACTTGACCGACTATGTTGCTCTAGCCTGATTAACAAACTTGAACTGACTATGTTGAAAGAATCAGGTTTCATGAACAGGTTATTATGCTACTGGACTAGTTTGTAGATATGATGAAAGAGATGCAACAACCAAGTTTGTAGCAGAGGAGGGTAGAATACTGATCAGACACAGAAATTCAGAAGAACTATGCAAGTGGTATTCCTCAAGAAGATTTGTTCGCGCTCTACAAGGAAAGCATTAATTGGAGGAGTTCGTGTTCAAAAAGGTTGTGTAAATAAGGAGAAACTTGCTAGGAAAGAAAAGGTTGAGGAGTTGGAAATCAAATAAGAAAACCAAACAAAATAAAAGAGATTTTCCTTAACCGAAATATTCTAAGTTTTGGAGCTTTAATTGAAGAAGATTTTTGGACAATCTCACACCTATATAAAGAGACTTTTTGCTGCTATTCAAGGCTTATTCTATTCACTCAGAAAGAGCAAGCAATTTATTTTGAAGGATAGCAAATCTCAGCAGAAAGATACTCTTGGAGACTCAAGCTGTTTAATTTAAGAACATGTTCCTAAAGACGAAACTATTGAAGTTCTTTAGTTTTTTAAGTTAGAGTCAAGTATTCTGAATTGTAACCTATTTGCTTTTGAGAAGTATGTCATAGGTTAATGCAGAAACATCAATTTTTTGTTAGCTTCCGAGACTAGAGTTAGTTTTGGGAAGGGTAGCAACTGATTGTAAGGCGTAAGGTGCTAGAGTTAATCCCCTTGGTTATAGAGTAGTAACCTAAAACTATTCATTGAGGTTAAGTGAAGTTTTGAGGCAAATTCTACTGGAGTAGATCATGATTTTTACTCCCTTGAGTAAGGAAGTTTTTTTTCGTAAAAAATGTTGTGTTAGTTAATTATTGCACTTCATTTCTATTTCTATCTGTTCAGTTCAAAGAATCAAGTTCTTTGAAATTTCAAAAAACGGGTAAGACACAATTCAACCCCTAATTGTGTCTGGTTCAACTGTAAAATAACACTTTACACCAAGGAACATCCTTAAGCAGCGGCGGAGATACACCTTAGCAAGGCATGTCTTCCAACACTGCTTCATATGAAGTTATCTTTACAAGGTACAAAAATAATATTTTTCTAATATATATATTAAAACTAATATCAATACCACGTGAAAATAATACAAAGTACATCAACTCGATACATAACCAGTAAAGTGAATCTATTCCCTTTTTTCTTTTCAAATTTTTGACGCCGGCTCCACATAAAAATAACTACCAAAAACTCTTTACCTTGAAGAGGAAAGGAGTACAGGATGGCCACAAATACTCGGCAAATAGTTCACAAAACTACCAAAGAATCAATGAGGCACAAATCAGATAATCCAGAAAGAATTTGAACCATCTGCTGAGTTAATGAGCTTAGAGGTGTGTCAACAAACAAATAAGCACATCTGCTCAATTTCATTCAATCTTCCTAGTATCACTTTTCTTACTAACGCAGCTTGATTGATGAGAAGACGGTTATCTTTTAAAGGCCTTGAAGAAGTGTCGATATCTCACAACCTAGTAAAATTATTAATCGAGAAAACAAAGACAGATGCATACGAATATATGAAAATAAAGATCCAAGGAAGAAAACTCATACAGATGAAATTCATAACATCAGCAGCATAACAAACTGTCAATTGGTGTGAATATTCAGAAGTCTCTTATTCATTCAATCCTCAGGGGGAATATAACTACTCTCCAGGAAAAAGACGTTTCAGATACGGTCAGCTGCGAAGAGATGCAGTATGACAAGAAATTCATTCCTCTTCCTCCGCCTCCTCCAGCCATTTCACAAAGGGCTCCAGCGACTTGACAAAGTTTTGCCTGCCACAAATTTAAGACACTAACCCCATTAAAAGGCAGACAAGACTAACACACTGAATAATTGAAATATAACTCATTCGAGCTAACCTCACTCTTCGGGGAATAACTCATTAACATCTTTATTTTGGCCAAACAAAATAAAGGGACCAAGACAAACACAGGCTTACCTGCCCTTAAGGTTTGTTCCTTTACGGAACCAATGAAGAATGGTATCTTCTGCTAGCACATCTTGGTCATAGAGAGACCTTACAATTTCAGGGAACAACTTCATCAGTTTAGCATCCTCGTAGCACTGGACTTGGACTTTGTACATAAGTTCCAATTCAAGCTTTCCAGAGGTGCAGAAAGTATTCAACAGTTCCGCCCATTTTTTCACCTAGAGAAAAAGGGAAGGGAAAAAAAGGACAAAGAATAAGATCATATAGAAGTTACAAAATTTTGGCAACTGAGTGCAATCTGAGCAGTTTAACGAAGAAGCTACAGAAACATTTGAATATGACAGTTACTGTTAATTATAAGACTGCAAGAGACATAACATTACACAAATCAACTAGTTATGTTCCAATTTGAGATAAAGGCAAATCTTCAGTTCTTTGTACAAGCTACTTGAGGGACTCAATTCCCCTATCATTGTCTTGAAATTGTTAAAATACCCTAAACGAGGGACGTTGTGCCTTTGTCAATGTCAAAATCATATAGCATATTCTAATCCCTTGTGAAATTCTTACAAAAGCAACTTAATCATTAATATCTTGTTTTGTTCCAATTTATTACCACAAGAATGTCTCACTGTTGTTCTTTTACTTTTTGATTTCAGTATGACAAATAATTTTGATTCAAAAATTTAGTTTCCACATTCACTATAAAAAGCAAATTGCATTTGTAGTCCGTTAAGTTAATTTAGGATAGTTTGCAACTTAATTTGCAGGTAAATACATAAAATATTCCAGTAAAATATATGAGCTTTGATGTTGGAATCTCTTTTTTGTTTTTTAATTAAAGATAAGAGTTTATTCATATGATTCCAGCAAGAAAATGCTGAATAGTACAAAATATAAACGGAGGACTATTTTTGACCAAACATCAAACACACCAATATAAGTTAGGCTGTTCCATATACATAAGACTAACTCTGCGCAAAACCAAATATGAAGGATGAAGTCGCTTTCTAAGACATATGATTCCAGCAAGACAATGCTGAATAGTACAAAATATAAACGGAGGACTAATTTTGACCAAACATCAAACACAACAATATAAGTTAGGCTGTTCCATATACATAAGACTAACTCTGCGCAAAACCAAATATGAAGGATGAAGTCGCTTTCTAAGGCATATGATTCCAGCAAGACAATGCTGAATAGTACAAAATATAAACGGAGGACTAATTTTGACCAAACATCAAACACAACAATATAAGTTAGGCTGTTCCATATACATAAGACTAACTCTGCGCAAAACCAAATATGAAGGATGAAGTCGCTTTCTAAGACACATATGAGGGACTAAACATGCTATTTACGCAATTTTAAACTACTACACTTGCATTTTACTACAAAAGAGACAACATCCTAGGAAACAAGAATGCATTACGCCGTGGTCATTGGTAACCATAAGAACAAGCATTCTCTACTTGGGCAAACTACTAAATCCACTAAGTCATGCAACTGAACATGTGAACAAAACTAGCTAAAATGAAACAAAGTTGCTACAAGTCGTCATGTACAGCTATGCCATTCAGCAGCAACAGTTCCAGTCTTGCGAAGCTGACAGCAAGATTAAATTGCCAAAAATGATAGGAAAACCCCATCATGAAGACATCACTAGACTTCATGATCAGTTCCACTCGCATTGATGCTTAAATGCACTTCCATACATAAAATATAAATAATTTAAGCAGGGACAGCATGCAGAATCAGCTTTTGCTGATTTTAAAGTTGCCTATCAGGTTTGCCCACTGACACTTCCAGTGAATCCTTCCGATATACATTAAATTACTTCCTCCGTTAGTTTGACTATCACAGGAGTATAAGAATATAAAAAAAACTTTTGGATCTTGTGGTCTTAATTAAAGGTGTATAGCATGCCAAGAATACCCTCTAAATCTTGTGGTCTTAAACATGCCATGTCATTCCTATAGGGAGAGGCATTAAGGGTAAATGAGAATGTTGGAACTGAAAATTCACTAACTACAGAGAGGTGGCATTCTTTTTTAAAGAGACTAATAGCTTGTTTCGCCAAGCGGGAGAAATCAGCTTATTTTGAGAAGTGCTTTTTTCAAAAGTGTTTTTGAAAAAAGTACTTTTGGAGAGAAGCAGTTTGTGTTTGGCTAATCACTCTAAAAAGCACTTTTGAGCAATTAATTTGTGTTAGGCCGAACTTTTTAGAAAGTGCTTTTAAGTATGAAATTACAAATACGGACATGAATAGATTTAGTTAATAGTTAATATTACAAGTAAATAAATAATCTTAAAAATTTTTTACTACAGGCAATAATTAAATCTTTTCATTTTATTTAAGAAAAGTATGAAAATAAAATTAAAAAGTACTTAATTCTTTTAATATAAGTTAAATATATTAAAATTCATTCAACAAATATAAAAGCATTCACCCTTAAAGTCACTATATATATATATATATAAGAAGACATACTTATTCATTAATATCCTAAGTATTAGGTTTAACGGTTATTTTGGTATATACTATATTTGTTAAGGGTATATTAGGTAAGAAGAAAAGTCAAAACTGCTTCTGCTTCTGCTTTTGGGAAGAAGCTACTTTTTTCTGCTTCTAAGAAACTGCTTCTGCTTCTGCTTTTGGGAAGAAGCTACTTTTTTCTGCTTCTAAGAAACTGCTTCTGCTTCTTCCCAAAAACACCTTTTTTTTGTCCCGAAAAGCTTCGCCAAACACCTCAAGTTAGGGGAAAAAAGTGCTTTTGGGAAAAAAGCACTTTTGGTCTGTTGAGAAGTATGGCCAAACAGGCTATAAAAAGCAAAGTAAGACGCGCAAATTAAAAGGAGGAAGCAATAACCAAACAATTATCAAACGGTTGTCATATTTATCCCACAGAATCAATATGGCATAAAAATATAGAAGAAAGGGCATGGGAGTAACCAATAATTAAACCAAATGTTTTATTTTGGTAAGTGTTCTTGAAGCAAAGGTTGTCTCATTGATTTGAAATCCACTAACACGTGAATTGTGATCAACTCACTTCACTATACAGCATAAATTTGAAACTAAAACAGGATAATCCAGAAGAAATTGGATAACTCAGCTACATTTTCAAGCAGGCATTTGGTATATCTGAAAACTATGCACACATTTTGAGAAAAGCAGTGAATTATGTGCCATGTGTGTCGCTAGATAAAAAGTAGCTAAAAAGTTTTCCCTCATTGCTGGAACTACAATAGAAAATTTTATCTGTTACAGCATTAGCGGGTTCCACTGACAAGCTTTTTAAATTTTGAAACAGATACTGACTTGCAGTCTCAATAATAAAAAAAAAACATCACGAAACTTGTACATGACTTAAATGTTAATTACCTGACGAAGAGCTGAATTAGCATTTTGCTGTTGATTCTTTCCTGACCATTGAATAGCATCCATCAATACATCCCACAAAATTCGCACAACCTCTATATCTGGCAATTTGGCATCTTTGACATGTTGCTTCACAGTCTCTATGACTTCAGAGATAGCAGCTTCTTCTGCTAGCTGAGTTGTTAATGCAGATTTCATTTCCTTGAGCTTCACCTCAAATATCTTCTTATCATTATATTCAACCAAAGGCAAAAGGCCAGCATTGCTGAAATAAGAAAGTCCATACACCATTAGGCATAGCTAAAGACAGAAGGCTTGAATAAACTGACCCAANATGGTAACTTGCTCCCTTGACTCGAATCTATAAACAAGATATCTTCTTGACAAGCACGAACAACATGCTTAACTGCAGCAAATTCCGACAGCTCAACACGGCATATGATCTACTTAAGGTAATAATGTAAAGGTACTAGCATAAAACAACCTATAATACAACAAGCACTGGTACACTAGTATCAAGTTTTTAAAATGGGAACAATCGTAACAAGGAAAAGAAGACCCCAAAAAGACACAAATTTAAAAAGATCAGACTCCATAAGACCAACAAAAGGATATATTCATCAACACCTACAATGAAATTCTATCTATGCGCACCTTGAGAACACTAGTGGCAAAGTTCCTGTATGAATATAATCTTATATGTTTATATTTTACCTCGAAAAAAGTGTCACCGTATCTTGAGAAGTTGAGGTCTGAAGACTCGAGGTTCTTAGCAACAAGTTCCTGTGCATAATAAAGCATTTAGTTGAGACTTATCCCAAGTATTACCAGCATCAAACATTATATTGAGATTGGTGAATAAGTATTAACAGCATAAAATACTAGTAATGGAGAAAGAGAGAAGTATAAAGCTGGCGACCCAAATTAAATATCCAATTACCAAATCACCAGCATTATCCAGATAAATCTGGACCACTGCATCAGCAAATGCTGCAGGGTCCAGCGGCGCAGCAATATTCCGTTTGCGGGTCTTAATCCGCGTACCACTGTAATCAAAGGACATAATCAACAAAAGTTATGGAATTTGCAACAAATAGCAGAGAGCATAAATAAGAGTAAGAACTCGGCTGGGAAAAAAAACTCACCCGAGAGTGGGCTTCTCCTTCGAGCTGTGATTCCAAAACCAAAACAAGCAAAAGTTTAATAAAGGAAGGACAAGAAGCATTTAATTGCAACCACACAAATTATCCAGCAGAAACAGCATAGTATACAACATCCACAAAAGGCCACTGGCTATAGTGCAAAAAATAACTCAGGATGACCAAAACAAGGAGAAGTTTGTATCTTTGACTTGTGACCTTTTTTTTATAGGGTGTCTTGCGACATACATAAACAAGAAAGTTCACGGAAAACCAGCAGTTGACAAGTACTAGCGTGGATTAAAGTACCACGGCCACAGACAACTACTAGAGTTGATTAAAAATCATAAAACGAGTGTGGACACATTCCTATCATAGAGAACCTACACTAACATACTTATATCACTAATTTATACTATGCAGGGATATTAGTTCAGCATTGATTGACTCTGCAATGAATGAATGACATGCCCATAGATTTACTGACACTTGATGTCAAAATTAGATAGGATTCCACTATCCTCATCTCAGTCTTGTCCTTTTCAGATGGAGTAAATTGACTATAGATGGTCGCGCTGCCACTCAAAAAGAAAGATTAATAAACTCCCTCTGTTCTATTCTCTTTTCTTTTTAGTATGTGTCGGAAAGAATGGAACTTTCATGTATGGGAAACTCTTTAACTTTAAACTTCTTACTCTACCTTCAATAAAATATTGTTATATCCATAGAAATGACATGGTATCTTTAACACCATACATTTTAAGGTTATTTTTGGCATGCACCCAAAAATAAATCTTTCTATCTTAAACTCCGTGCTCGATCAAATACTGCTATATAATTTACAAAGAGAGGATTATCATTTAGTCGGCGTTGGACATAAGAATTGTAAAATTCCAAAACAGGGTGAAAAAAAATTTCAAGTGAAAATGGTATTTTAGAGTTGTGTTTGGACATGAATATAATTTTGGCTTTTTTTTTGAAGTTTTGTGAGTGATTTGAGTGAAAATTTTGAAAAACAGCTTTTTGGAGTTTTTCAAATTTTCGAAAATTTCCAAAAATGCATCTTCACGTGAAATTGGAAATTTTATGTACAAACGCTGATTTCAAGAAAAAGTGATTTTTTTTTTTGGAAAAAAGGGAAAAATTTCTTATGTCCAAACGGGGCTCTTAGTCCATGAAGGAAAATATTGGTGGTAACAAACCTTTGATACCAAATTTTCTAATTTCTTCAATAAAGAGTATGGGTCTCCTGGAAACAGCCTCTCTGCCCCTCGGGGTAAGGGTAAGGTCTGCGTACATATTACCCTCCCCAGACCCCACTTGTGGGATTATACTGGGCCGTTGTTGTTGTTGTTGTTGTTCAATAAAGAGTATTTGTTTGAAGAATAAAATTTCCGCCATGTAAGCGCATGAACAAGCCAACTTAACAGGATTACATTAACAAAACAGCTCAAATCGACTAATAAAACTCATTTTTTCATTCTGGTCGCTGCTCCTTTTTTATTTTTCAAAGTACAGCTTCAAAAGATGCAGTTTTGAGCCCATTCCTTTTCTCTAAGTAATTGACAGCATCTAAAAGAAATGCCACAAAATAGTTCTCAGCCTCTTTTAACAAATAAAGGCTTCAAACGCCACGGATCATGAGTTCACAGAATTGAACCTGCGACCATTTATTTTTTTGATGAAATAAGTGATATATCATTCACAGGAATGAACCTTCGACCATTTTAATATGTAAAGACTTTGTAGCTTGTCAGTCTACTATGGTTCCAATTTGTGTTCCATTTGAAAGGTAAAATAGGGTTCTAGCATGTTCATTAATACTTTATAGCATTTAACAATATATCATATGTGTATAAACTGTATGTGTGTATGTAACAATATATCATATGTGTATAAACTGTATGTGTGTATGTAACAATATATCATATGTGTATAAACTGTATGTGTGTATGTAACAATATATCATATGTGTATAAACTGTATGTGTGTATGTAACAATATATCATGTGTATAAACTCTATGTGTGTATGTACTGTATATATGTGTGTGGAGAGATAGAGGAAGAGAGAATAAACTTTCTGGCTAAAGCATGTTCGATTGGACCCCTTGGGTCAAAGTTGATCACCTAATGATAATAAATTCACTAGAACATATAGCAGCACTTAATTAATTAATTTTTTCAATTAATACTAGCAGTTTGCCTTTTATCAAATCATTTGTTCCACATATCGGAAACATGGATAACTTGTGACTTCCAATTAAACAGTTGGTAGACTAATTCAAAAACATTTTAATGTCACAATAACTTGCATCACGACACGTTTTTATTGGTGCCTGCCTCTGTCCAAGCGAAAAATATATAATAAAAAAAAAACACATATATACATAAATACAACGCGGAAGAGGTCTTAAATAAGAGATAAAACGCTAATTTTTCAACATGACAAAAATTCAGAGTTAGCGTTCTTCTTTCGAAATTTTAACACCTCAAATTAAAACAGAGAAACATAATTAAGCTAATAATTTCCTCAAAAAAAAAATAGTTCTTCCGAATGTTAACGAAAAAAAAGCCCTAATTCACCAAAACATAGATCGATTTGTGAGAAAATTTCATAACAATACACTCAAATATATACATCAAATTCAAAACCAAAACAGCAAGCGGAATAATTTAAAAAAATTAGTACAGAAAATCGATAAGAAATTAACAGATCGTAAATAATTAATTACACATAAAACAGAAAAAAAGGAAAACAAATCGACTAAAAATAGGATAGAGATAATGAATCGTTACCTCATAAACTAAGATGGAGAAAAATCAAGGTCGATGCAGAGACTTCTGCGCTTTGCGGATGAGAGAATATAATAGAGTGAAAAGGGGAGAATAGGAAGAAAAGAGAGAAACGAGTTCTCGTGAAGCCCTGTGCTAAGATATTTATATCACTTTTTATTTCCTTATAGGTGAGGCTGGCTTTGAGTGAGAGTAACTACTAACTAGTAACAATCTCAGGTTCGAATCTCTCCTACAACATTATCAGCTGCTCTATTAAAACTACTTTTATGTATCATTGAACTTTATCCATTATATCTTAAAGTCATAAAATTACTTTTTCTTTTCATTGAAGTCATATTGTATTAGTAAAATAAATAAATAAAAATAACAAAACTAAAGTTGTCTATATATTTTGATCACTTATAAAATAAACATAAAGCACATGTAAGGATAGAGATACTAATGTCATCTATAGTGTGTACATTGACGTAGCTAATAATTTCATTTAAGATAATGAAAAATAAATATTATGTGAAATTTATTACTAGTAAATTTATAATTAGTTGAATATTATTATTGCACAACTAATAATGACAATCTTTTTTATACAAAGTAAGATAGTATGAAGTCATGATAATTGCAAGTGTCTAAAGCCGAATAAATATATTTTTTATGCTTTCAATATTCAAAGTTTACTAGTTTAATTAATTTAAATTCACACCATTAAAAAGAATAGATTATTTTCTAATAAGAGAATTTCTATTTCATATAGCTTGAATCATAAACCTCTCATTTAAAACTATAAGAATTTGAATCATTTAACAATGTCTCGAAAAGACAGATTCATAGACAGCAAACTTCTAATGGGAAGAGACAACGCGAAAATTTTGGAAAAGATACATGGTTTTAGCATAGCTTGTGGAGGCCCATTTGATTTGACGATACTTAGCCCATATAATTGGTGCTTTGATGTTAAGTCGAATAATGGACCATGTCAATGCTCATATAATTAGTGCTTTGATGTTAAGTCGAATAATGGACCGTGGCTAGGATCCTTTAGGCCACGGGACATTACTGGCGGAGGTAGAATTTTTATGGGATTTTTACCTATCTATACCATATATCAAACATTATTACCTTCATTGTTTAAGGATTG